TTACACATTTACTCAAATTGTTATGCTGATAATACAATTTGTAAGGAAAAATGCATTAAATAGCGAGGTATTTCTGGGGAAAATTTTTCAAAGGAAAACACACACACACGCATGTCTCTTTGCTGAGCCGCTGCGGTCTCGGTGAATCAGCAGCATCCACAACTGAACGGAACAAAAAGTGTTGAACTTGAAAATTGTTTATGTGCGAGTGCACTTGCTAAATGAAGGCGGATTGTATAAAATTGATATTTAAAAAAAAACATTTATTAACGAGCTGCAGTTTTATTACATCATGCGCTGGCACATATGTAGTATATTAACGCCACGGGTCATCAATAAGGTGCAGATTTGGTCCTCAATTTGTGTTTCCAACACACTTTTTCACAGCGCGCATCACGTGCTCAAACTCATCAAAAGTCAACAAGTTCAACAAGCAACAACGACTTATCCAAGTGACTGCTGCAGAACGCACGCGAGAGAGAGAGAGAGACGAGGCAGCGCAAATTGCGCGTCTCATAAGTGAGTGGGAATTTACTGAAAGTGGCACTTGCGGGAGTTAACACTTAACACTGTATGCAACACCCGCAACCTCACACCAAATTTCAGGCCGTGTAGATAGGCAAGCATATATACAAATCATTTAGTAAGCAGAAATCCTAACTAAATATATTAAGGTAGAGGAAGATGCGACTGAATTGATGCTTGAAGAATGCGCTTCCAGCAGCCATTATAAACAGTTGGCGGTTAAAGTTTTCTATGCACAATTTGATTTGACAAAAGTCACGAGACCTATTACTCTCTATCCAATCATGTTGATGGATAAAAATAAAATTAAAATAAGCATGTAACGACCACAAACGGAGGAAAATAGCGGAGTAAAAGTACCGATACATCACTTAAAATGTACTCAAGTAAAAGTACACAATTTTTAAACTACTCAAAAAGTACAATTACTGATAAAAACTACTTAATTACTGTAATGTGAGTATTTGTAATTCGTTACTTCACACCCCTGAGTAGAGGCTATAGAACTCTTCCTCCATGACAGACGTTTTCGAGTATACATGGTAGACAAAAATAGCTCTTGGAGAAGACAAGCAAACGGACTCCCACAGGGGTCTGTCTTGTCTCCAAGTCTCTTTAACATCTATATTAACAATCTTCCAGCAACACAGTCCCGCAGATTCATCTATGCTGATGATATCTGCATTGGGACCCAACATCAGACATTTGACGAGGTCGAGTACGTACTGAACAAGGACATGGATCTGATGGTGGACTTCCTCGGTAGGTGGCGACTCCAACCCAGTGCAACGAAGACGGTATCTAGTATCTTTTATCTCCACAATGCACAAGCCAAACAGGAGCTCAATATCTTCCTCAAGGGCCATCGGATTAAACATGAACCAAATCTGACGTACCTCGGCGTTACCCTGGACCGTTCATTAATATATCATGATCATTTGAAGACAGCAGCTAAAATCAGCTCTCGAAATAATCTACCGACGTACCTCGGCGTTACCCTGGACCGTTCATTAACATACCATGATCATTTGAAGACAGCAGCTAAAATCAGCTCTCGAAATAATCTACTCAGTAAACTGGCCGGCACAAGCTGGGGTGCAAGGGCCCAGACACTAAAGACCACTGCACTTGCTCTGTGTTATTCAACAGCAGTGTACTGCGCACCAGTCTGGTCCAGATCATCCCACACCAAGCTAGTAGACGTTCAGTTAAACACGTCTATGCGTACAATCACTGGAACTCTACGTTCTACTCCTCTTCCTTGGCTGCCTGTTCTCAGCAACATACCACCACCACATCTCCGATGACAGGAGGCCACTGCCAAGCTGCTGACTGAAGTCCAAGCGAATGACAAGTTGCCAGTCAATACGGACATTACACTGCATCCAGCAGCCCGCCTGTCATCGAGAAAACCTGTCTGGCTGGACCCGCCGCCAGAGGATATGACAGCCAATTCGGCATTGGAGCTATGAGTGACCAGCAACTGATGTTGTGAACCACTCCCTCGTAGCTGAGCTATCGGTCTGTCCTCCTGGCTTCGACTTTCCTCGACGACACTGGCCAATGCTGACCCGAGCTTGGACGGGGCCAAGCCACTAATCCGAACTGCAGCTGTGGGGTACCTGAAACCATGCAGTACATTGTCAACGAGTGTCCGCTGACTTATTTCAACGGCGGACTCGAGGCTCTACATCTGGCTGAACAGGATGCTGTTCTGTGGTTGGGCACGCAATGCAAACGGTAAGAAGAAGAAGAACTGAACTGAGCTGGATGATGAAATCACTGAATTTAATGTTGAACTGCCTTTAACTGAAAATTGAGTGTTTACTATTGTCGTTTTGTATTATTGACACATTATTTTCCTATTTGATGCTGTAAAGCTGCTTTGACACAATCTGTATTGTTAAAAGCACTATATAAATAAAGGTGACTTGACTTGATTTGACTTGACCTGTAGCAGAAGAACCGCTTCTCAATATTATTAACTCATCATTATCGCAAGGTTATTTCCCAAAACCTAAGCTGGTTGTTATTAAGCCTCTTATTAAGAAACCACAGCTTTATTCACTGGGACCTGAAAGTGCTGGATCTGATGATAATCTACAATACTGACTGTGAATCTTTTTTTTATGACTGCGTAGATTAGATAAATGAGTGAAATTCTTCCCGCAAGCAGTGCAGTGATACGGTTTCTCTCCAGTGTGGATCCTCTCATGTGTTTTCAGGGTTTCTGACCGACTGAATCTCTTGTCGCAGTGTGAACACTTGTAAGGTTTCTCTCCAGTGTGGATCCTCTCATGTTTTTTCAGGGATCCTAACTGACTGAAAGTCTTGTCGCAGTGTGAACACTTGTAAGGTTTCTGTCCAGTGTGGATCCTCTCATGTTTTTTCAGGGATCCTAACTGACTGAAAGTCTTGTCGCAGTGTGAACACTTGTAAGGTTTCTCTCCAGTGTGGATCCTTTCATGCATTTTCAGGGTTTCTAACTGACTGAATCTCTTTTCACAGTGTGGACACTTGTAAGGTTTCTCTCCAGTGTGTATCCTCTGGTGCAGTTTCAATTGATCAGCTGTAAAAAAAGTCTTCTCACACTCAAAACACATATGATCTCTCACACCAGCATGTATCATCTTTGACTTGACCTGTAGCAGAAGAACCGCTTCTCAATATTATTAACTCATCATTATCGCAAGGTTATTTCCCAAAACCTAAGCTGGTTGTTATTAAGCCTCTTATTAAGAAACCACAGCTTTATTCACTGGGACCTGAAAGTGCTGGATCTGATGATAATCTACAATACTGACTGTGAATCTTTTTTTTATGACTGCGTAGATTAGATAAATGAGTGAAATTCTTCCCGCAAGCAGTGCAGTGATACGGTTTCTCTCCAGTGTGGATCCTCTCATGTGTTTTCAGGGTTTCTGACCGACTGAATCTCTTGTCGCAGTGTGAACACTTGTAAGGTTTCTCTCCAGTGTGGATCCTCTCATGTTTTTTCAGGGATCCTAACTGACTGAAAGTCTTGTCGCAGTGTGAACACTTGTAAGGTTTCTCTCCAGTGTGGATCCTTTCATGCATTTTCAGGGTTTCTAACTGACTGAATCTCTTTTCACAGTGTGGACACTTGTAAGGTTTCTCTCCAGTGTGTATCCTCTGGTGCAGTTTCAATTGATCAGCTGTAAAAAAAGTCTTCTCACACTCAAAACACATATGATCTCTCACACCAGCATGTATCATCTTATGTAGTTTTAATATATGCAGCTGTGAAAAATTCTTTCCGCATAAAGAACATGAATGTGGTTTCTCTTTCGTATGAACTTTCAGGTGATTCTTCAGGTTTGAAGCCCTCAAAAATGTTTTTCCACACTGATCACATTCATGCAGTTTCTCTCTAGTGTGGATGTTCATGTGTTCTTTAAGGTTTGAAGATTTTGTGAAACTATTCCCACACTGATCACATGTGAACGGTTTCTCTCCAGTGTGGATGTTCATGTGAACTTTGAGACTTTTATTGCTTGTCAAACTCTTTCCACACTGAGTGCAGGTGAAAGATTTCTCGTCTCTTCTTTTCTTTAAATCTTTTTGTTTGGTCTGAGAGCAACTTAAAGGTTTTTCTACAGCTTTGATATGTTTTTTCTCGCCTTCTTCATTCAGTTCTTCATTCTCCTCTTTTTCTTTAATCAACCCTGAAATGAAAAAAAACAACAACAACAACACAATTTTCAGTAAATTGTAAAAAAAAGAAGAGAAAAGTGAAAAGAAAGGACATAAAAGTGAACCCTGATGTAACAATGGAAAGTAAACAATTGCTATACAAATATCTGATCGTTTTGATGCATTTTTGTAAATTATATGTATATTAAACTTCCCTGGAGTGAGGTACATTGTTCTTCAAATTAATACTTAAACATTTTTCAACATAATAGACACAAATCCCATATTTCTGTAGTGGGAACCAGGCCACTCACCAATGGGGGGCATCAAGGGGCAGTGCTCCCAAGTGACTCAATGGGGTCCCTGCTTGTATCATCACAAACAAACTTACTATTGAACACAAATTATATCTATTTCGCTGATCTCACCAATAAATACCACAAAGCAAATTCCTAATTCAGCAGCATTTAGCTCAAAGGCCCACTAATCTCTACAACGTTAACTTAATATGAACCTAATAACACAATATCTTTTAACAGGAAATTCATATTCAATGTACTAATGCATATAGTACACAAAGTATTTAATTAGGTTCATAAATTACTTAAAACATTGCCAAAACCTTGAATAAACCTGCCTCTCCCTGCTTGTATCATCACAAACAAACTTACTATTGAACACAAATTATATCTATTTCGCTGATCTCACCAACCAAAGCAAATTCCTAATTCAGCAGCATTTAGCTCAAAGGCCCACTAATCTCTACAACGTTAACTTAATATGAACCTAATAACACAATATCTTTTAACAGGAAATTCATATTCAATGTACTAATGCATATAGTACACAAAGTATTTAATTAGGTTCATAAATTACTTAAAACATTGCCAAAACCTTGAATAAACCTGCCTCATTGTTAAAATATCAAGGAAGTAGTCTGTAATTTTGGTTAGTAAAATTATAGCATGCAATTTGGATGTAGCATGATGTATAGATAAATTATATAAGACAGTGCCAGAGGTTTATAATATAAGTGATTCCTTAAAGTAATAATAATAACTTCCCAGTTTTCAATCTGGTTTCCAACAGCATCACAGCACAGAGACAGTGCTCAAAGATAATAAATTATATTCGCTTAAATTCTGATTCAGGCAAAATATAAGTGCTGGTACTATTAGATCTCAGTGCAGCATTTGACACTGTCTATCAAAACACACTTCTAGAGAAACTGGGACAGGTTTTCTAGGATGGTCCTCAAATGGTTCAGGTCATACTTAGAAGGGAGAGAGCATAGGTCTAAGTGGATGTCCATGACATGTGGAGTCCCACAAGGCTCAATTCTGGCACCAATCTTGTTCAGCCAGTATATGAAGAGTTCAGATGCAAAAGCCTCTAAATTCCATTTGAAAATGTCTTCTAAAATGAGCATTTTTCTGAGGCTCATATGTTTATGTTCAGTTATTTCACTTTAATGGCAATAAAAATAACCCATTCATTGCCATTAAAGTAAAATTAATAGTCGACTGATATTGTTTTTTTGACAGCCGATGCCGATATCTTGGAAAGCAGGGTGGCCGATATAATTGTATTTATTTTAATTAATATTTAAGAAATTTGAAATTATTTGAAAATGGATAAAAAAAATAAATTTGTAAAATAAACACTTATACTTTAGATGACAAAGTATTTTTCACAAATAAATAAATATTTAGTAAAAATATAATTAAAAAGGAAGTAAACTGTAACCAACAGGGCAGTCAGTATTCTGGGATGTGTGTGTGCATTGGGAATTATATTTTTTCAAATAAAGCCAAGGTAACACTCATTTTACATACAGCACACAGTAAAAATAACATGAATATGACAGTGGGCAAATGCATAAAGCAAAGCATAATTTGAAATCACGAATTTAATGTTAAAAAGCATTCAATTTGCATGGACCGAAGTCACGCAGAGAACACGTGATCATGCAGGTCACATGCACACTTCACAAGATCTCACAACTGGATTCCACCAAGTTTGCAAGGTTTGTGAAATAAAATTTTCATTAGCCATTCAAAGATTTGTTTAAATGATGTAAATGCGTATTTGCTGAACGCTGACGGCAAACGAGAAAATATTATAATGTTTGCCTTTCTATTACTAAAAATATAAAAGCAATCGTTATAATACTTTTTGTATACATTTTAATTCCTTTGTTTAACAGTTCTATCGGATTATTAGACAGACTTCTATCAGTATTCGACAGAACTGTTAAAGGGGTCCTATTATGCTTATTCACTTTTTCAACTTTAGTTAGTTTATACTGTTGCTGTTTGAGCCAGGGGCGTGTCTAGAGCATTTTAAATGGGGGGGCCAGTCGGGGGCACTGGCTTAAAAGAGGGGGGGGGTTGTGTTTGGGGAACGATGTATGTTAAAA